CCCACACACACACACACACACACACACACACACACACACACACACACATGAGATATCGAGCTGCAGTGTCTTCATGCATGCGTTTTAGATACGCTTTTGCTTTCTTTGTTTATTGTATTTCTAAACTCTGCTAACAGGCAATATATATTTCTTTTTATGCTTTCGATCATTTAACAGTTGAATGTGATTACGTTCCATTATATTATACGTCTTATTAGTCTCTTTCTATCTCAAATCTTCTTTTATACTGCAGTTCTTTGTCAACTATAAATATTTTCCCCCGAAACGCCAGTCTCAAATTTAGCCTCTAAAACATGAAATTTCGGAACTGAACCAGATCGAGGCAATGCCACAAAATGAGTAATACAATACAATATATCTCTGTTTTTACATTTCAGGAACCACGCTATACCCCTTTACCACACGTTCACAAAGCACCCAAACCTCAGCTCCACCTGTCTCTCATTCTACGTTTAACTCCACATCTACATATTATAATCATACAACGAGCCCTTCTTCTTCGCCAGGACCCTTTGACTTCAACTTCACAGATAGCTCCACTACACCTGTCTATACCTTTTCCTCCTATGGCGGTTCTCCTACAACCTGGAACTCTTCCACGTATTTTTCTCATTATTCTTCAACCCAAAGCACCAACATCAGTTTTACGGGCTTTTCACCCGGCTTGGCCTCGATACTGTTTGACTCTTTGTCAACAAAAAACTATTCAGCCACCACTTACTCGTACAACTCGTCAACGCTAAATTATCCAACAGCCCCTAACTCGTCTAACGTGCAAACGCTTAATTACACAACTACCACTTACTCACTTAATTCGGTAATACTTAACGACACATCATCCCCGTACTCACATAGCGTGCCAGTATCTAACACCTCAACCACTAACTCCCCTAGTTTGTCAACATCTAACTACACATCAACCACTAACTCCCCTATCTTGTCAACATCTAACTACACATCACCCACTTACTCCCCTATCTTGTCCACATTTAACTACACATCACTCACTAACTCCCCTAGTTTGTCCACATTTAACTACACATCACCCACTAACTCCCCTATCTTGTCCACATTTAACTACACATCACCCACTAACTCCCCTATCTTGTCCACATTTAACTACACATTAGCAACTAACTCCCCTAGTTTGTCAACATTTAACTACACCTCAACCACTAACTCCCCTATCTTGTCCACATTTAACTACACAT